ATATCATGCCATCCTTGGACAGAGAAACTATCTCTATTCTCAGACCACCCCCAGCCTTGGGCTATCTAGACAAGAGGATTTGTCTCCACCCAAGCTGGATGGAACAGAATTCACCTGAGACTAGAGATTCCTTGTAGAGTTGGGATGGGTCAGATAGAGAAGTTAATTCAATCTGATCATCAGTAACATCTTTCACAAGACTGAACTTTTAGGGACAGCTAGGTGGTGCAGTGGATAGAGCACTGGCCTTGGAGTCAGGAGGACCTGAGTTCAAATTCCAGACACATAACACTCACTAGCTGTGTGACTCTGGGCAAGTCACACAATTGCCTCACCAAGGAAGAAAAGAGCCTGAACATTTTGCTTTTTAAAATCAGGACTTTAGGGGCAGCTAGGTGGCACAGAGAATAGAGCTCCAGCCTTGGAGTCAGGAGGACCTGAGTTCAAATCTGGCTTCAGACACTTGACACTTAACTAGCTGTGTGACCCTGGGCAAGTCACTTAACCCCAATTGCCTCACCAAAAAAAAAATCAGGACTTTAAAAGAAGGGGAGAACTCTGGATCTCCCCCCAATTATTCGTTTATTAATAATCATTTCTGTCGCTAGACATAAGAACATATCTATATGTAAAAGCATCTTTAGCAAATGGTTTATGAACTCATAAAAAAATGGAATCCTTTTTTTGTCTGTGGAAGATCTCAGATAAACAGTGATATAACCAGCAGTGACCTAGGAACAGTGCAAGAGTTGGAAAATGTTTACCAGCAACTTTATTAAACAATGATGCTTTTAGTACATTAGGCAGCTAGGTGGCACAGTGGATGGAGTGCCACGCCAGGAGTCAGGAAGATTCATCTTGAATTCAGATCTGGCCTCAGATATTTTCATGCTGTGTGACCCTGGGCAATCACTGTATCCTGTCTGCCTCAGTTTACTCCTCTGTAAAATGGTCTAGAGAAGGAAATGGCAAACCTTTCCAGTGTCTTTGCCAAGAAAACACCAAATAGGGTCATGGAAAGTTGGACACAACCAAGTACACAAGTTAAATGTCTCTGTACGTTTTCCAATAGGCCAGTTTTAGAGGTGGGATGAAAAGAGCTTTGAGTCTAGACTCAGAAGACTTGGATTCCAACCTTAGACTTGTCCTTTATTACCTGTGTTGACCTTTGGCAAAAACTATTTCCTTTACCCAAAGTTTCAAAAACAAATGCTAAAAAATTGTTTTCACATGCAACTGGGAAATAAGATATACAGGCAATGGAGTATTGAAATCTATCCTGCCCTACAGGAAAATATGAAAGGAAGGGGATAAGAGTAGGGGGTGGGGAGGTAGAAGGGAAGACAGATTAGGGGAAGGGGTATTCAGAATGCACGTCATCTTGGGGTGGGGGGAGGGACAAGATAGGGAGAAAATTTGGAACTCAAAAATCTTGTGGATGTGAATGTTGAAAACTAAAAATAAATAAATTAATGAATATTTAAAAAGAAAAGAAAAGAAAAGAAAAAACTATTTCCCATGCTCAGGGCTTCATTTTCCTCTACTGCAAAATGAAGGTGCCCATGTGGTTGACTTGAAGGTCCCTTCTGTCTCTATATCGATGCTCCCATTGGAAGATTTAAAGACAGAGCAAGTCTGGATCTGAGGAACTAGTTGAATTGTCATTTTATTTTGAAGTGACAAAGTGTTTCAGTCTGAGAGGTTGTGACCCCTCAAAGACTAGAGTATAGGAAGGGGTCGACTGGAATGAATATTCACAGACTCAAGCATTCTTTAAGTCAAGTTGGCAAAAAGTTTATTGTTATGCTTTTCAGCAGGCAAGGATTCTTAAGGATCCTGCGATCTTAGAGGGGTACTGTTAAGGTTTACATAGGATAAAATATAATAAAACATGTGCCAAATATGCTAACTAGGTGATTCAGGGTGGGATCAGGGAGTGGTTAAGGAGTGGTCAGTTCTTAAAGGAACATGCACTTCTTGTACCTACTGTGCAGGCATTTTACCCAGAGTTCACTAGGAAAAGCCCACAAAGGGGGCCACTTGGAGTTGTGGTTTTAGGCCTGCTACATCACTAAGTTAACTAGAGTTCAGTGGTAACTGAGAGTCGTCCAGTCTGCCACCAGTCAATGTCTTGTTTGACAAGATAGAGGTAGGGAGTATACATATGTCTTAAGTCTAGAATATAGATAATGAGGCATCCAGGATGTAGATAATGAGGTAGGACAGTAGTATAGATAGTCCAGTGGGTCAGGATATCTTTATGACCCAGTGCAATGCCAGTTTAAACTAATAATTCCTTTGGGTGCTGTTTGTAACTGCACCAGGGAAAGAGATAAGGGTCTTGCTGGGGCCCATTCATGAGTAATTGCTAGGCACAGTGTCCTTGGGCTAGGGAGAAATCGTCAGAGACAGTATTTCTGAGACGAGGGAGAAATTGGGGTCTAAGTACAAGCACCCAAACACAAGTACCCAAGCACCCCATCAAGAGTAAACATCATCTGATCTACCTTTGATCGTATCTGTTAATAAAGGATTTTATTTCATTAACTCTTGAGTGGCAAATGTTCACCTCAGAAACCTAGAATGAACAGGTGAGGTGGTGTTTTAAGAAAGCAGTTGATACACAAATGAAGCGGTTACAAATTAAAACTACTTTGTGATGCCACCCTGTTGCAGTGTGAGAGGTTGAGAGGTTGTGACCCCTCAAAGACCTGAGTACAGGACGGGTCGTCTGGAATGAATTCACAGACTCAAGCATTCTTTAATTCAAGGTGGCAAAGATTTATTGTTACGCTTTTCAGCGGGCAAGGGTTCTTAAGGATCCTGCAAGAGACTGAGAATGCAGCTAGGGTTTACATGGAAAAGAGCATGGGAAAGAAATGCCAGGGACACTGATGAGGTAATGTAAAGGTGCAGGTGTCTTTGGGGGCTATGGATGGGAAAGTACAGGGAGTATACCAGACAGGGAGGGAGATGACAGAGGTATGGATCTTTGGAGTCTGGCAGCAGGCAGAGTTCTTGGGCTGGGCAAGGCACCCCTCTCCCTCTGTCTTGATGAGAGAATGTTCTGCAACAAGGGAAAGCTTTCTTACAAGACAGGAACTACTAAGGAATTGGGAGACTTCCAGAGACATGATCTGAGGGCTGGGGCCTGAGCAGCCCAGTTCTGTGTAGCTGTACCAGGGAGAGAGAGAAGGGTCGTGCTGAGGCCCATGCATGAATAACTGCTAGGCACAGTGTCCTTGGGCTGGGGAGAAACTGTCAGGGATAGTGTTTCTGAGGCTAGGGAGAAACTGGGGTACAAGTACAAGCACCCAAACACAAGCACCAAAGCACCCCATCAACCCCACACCCATCAACCTGGCAAAAATGATTAAAAGCAGTGAATTTCATTCTTGGGGTGTAATTTGCAAATCTGTAGACTATTATATATAGGAGAGAAAATTGGTGGTAGGCAGTGCAAGTTTCAGAGATGATACCCTTTGACCCAATAATTTCATTACTGGGAACATACCCTGAAAAGGTCACCAAGAGCAGAAAAAGTGAGATCTGTTCAAAGATCTGTTTAGCAGCCTTATATGAAATAACAAAAAAAAAATGGAAACAATCTAAATATCTAACAGTAAACTAACGGTTAAATAAATTGTGGTATAGTACTTTATTATAATTCAATTAAGACAAAGTATGAAGAATACAAAGAAATCCGCTACTGCTCCCCTCACCAAAACCACCATGTATTTATTTTGTATATATCCTGTGTATGCTAATATATGCATACATTGACTCTTCTATTGGAATGTAAACTCCTTGAGGACAGACACCATACAATTTCTTTCTGTGGGATGGGGATACAAAGGAATACATGAAACAATCCCTGTTCTCAAAGAGTTGAATAATAATAACTGACATATAATTTGAAATAATAATAATAGTGACTAGCTACATAGTGCTTTAAGATTTATAAAAATAGTAATAGCTAATATTTACATAGTATTTTGAGGTTTGCAACAATAATAGAAAACATAGAGAGCTTTAAAGCTTACAATCAAAATAACAGCTGATATTACATAGAGAGCACTTTATGGTTTGTAACAAGAGCTGACTGATAGACATCGCTCTAGGGTTTTCACTAAAAATTGCCAACATAAAGCCACGTTAAAATTTGCAATCATAGCTGACACATATAGCAATTTAGGTTTATATTAACAATAGGTCCCATTAGGGCATCAAGATTTTCATTAATAATAGCTGACATTTAGACAGTGTTTTCAAGTTTGCAATGATACTGTAGGCTGACATTTAAATAATGCTTTAAGGCTTGCAAAAATAATGATAGTTGATATTTACCTAACACTTTGAGATTTTCATATGACAACTGATATACAATGTTTTAAGGTTTGCAATGATGACAGTGGATATTTATATAGTGCCTTAAGTTTTGCAGTAATAATGATAGCTGTTAATTATATAATGCCTTAATATTTGCAGTAATACTAATTGTTGACATTTATGCAGCGCTTTAGGTTTGCAATAATGATATCAGCTGAACACCTTGCATACTTTTTCGATAACATTTAGAAGGCTGCTTAAGTTTGTGCTTTTAATAAAACATTAAAAAAAAAGAGTGCCGTTCAAAAATAGACATTTAAAAAGTAAAGTAAAAATTGGCCCTCCCGAGGCGCCCTGCCACCCCCACCCTAGACCATGGCCCTCTCCCAGTCAAAGGTACAGCCGTCAGCTCAGGATTCTAGGCTGCACACACGTGCCCAAGGCCTGCCCCGCCTTCCCCCGCCTTGCAGTCTCCAGCAAGCGCATGCGCAGATATAGCCACGCCCCCTTCACCTAGCCCTTCGCTCACCGGCTGACCCGGCTGAGCTTTTCTCGTCCCGCCCCCTTGACCCCGTGGTGGGCTCGCGCCTGCGCTCGGTAACACGAGACGGGATGGGGAGAGGGGGCGGTTCGTGCTGCCCTTAGAGCGAGCGGGCCGCGGCGACGTCACCGCTTGCGTCACTTCCGCTCCCTCCAGAACTCTTCAGAAGGCGGTGGGTGTGGAGCTGCGTTCGCCGTGCTGGTCCCGGGTCTTCCGCCTGCTAGGCACCTGCGAAGCGGTGAGAGGCGCTCAGGTCGCGGCCCCTCGGCTCGCCCTGGTTGTCAGAGTTTTCCGGCCGCCGCCGCCCACTTCCCAGCCTCAAATGTCAGAACGCTCCGTCCATCGCTTCTCAGCCCCCGCCCCGGGCGGGGAGGCCAGGACGCCCCCGGGGCTAGGCCTTGTCTGCCCCGCGTGACCGTGGGCGGCAGCAATAGTGGGAATAGTGGCCCAGGCTTAACGGATCGCGTCCGGGACTGTAAAGAGCGTCTCGTTAGGTCTTTGGGTCTCAGTTTCGTTATCTTTAAAATGGGGGGAGGTTAGCATTGGATGACCTTCGAAGTCATTCTCCCAGCCCTCTGACCCCATGGTTTAGGGATGCACGGGAGCCCCAGAGGGCCTCGAAGCATTATCCAGCAGGGAAGGAAATAGACCCCAAGAAGCAGCAGGGAAGGATTTGAACCCAGGCCCCCTGACTCCAGACCCAGTTTATCTTTGCTCATGACTAAAGAGTCCTTTTATAGCACCAGAGTAAGCAGTGTTAGTTGATAGGGAATGCCTGGCAATTAACTTGTAGAAGCAGAAAGAATAGCTAGCGTGTGCGTGTGCGTGTGTGTGTATTATACAATATATAATATATTGTATTATACAATATCACATACACATGTACAGCTAGTAAATGCCTGATAGAATTTGAACTCGGGTTTTCCTGACTCCTAAGTCTAGCACCACCTAGCTGCTTCAGCCTGTAGCCTTTACCTTCTGGCCTCTTTTCTTTTTTTTTGAGGGAATGGAGAGGATTGGAGTGAGCTTGGTAAGTGTATGTATGGTTTTGCAAGGGTGGTTAGTGATCTTGTGATTTCACTGCCATAGGAAGTTCCTAGTAATAGAGGAAGTTCTCCACCAGTGCAGATTGGCAGCTTCTCTCACTTTTGGCCTCATAGTTGCCTGGGACACTGAGGTTGAGTAATTTAAATGTGGTTATGCATCTAGTATCTGTCAGAGGCAGGATTTGCAAAGTAATGGGAGCTCAGTTCAAGGAATCAACAGCAAGTCTTGTTAGGCTGAAACATAACCAGGATCAAGGAGAATGTGAAGAATAGATAGAGCCCGATTGTCTGGGCTGGTCTTCCCTGAAGTTGCTCACATAAGGTGGCTGAAGCTGGTCTTATTGGTAGAAGAGAGAATAAGAGAGCCAAGTAAGATTTCTGTGTGGTACTAAGTGTGGCTCTGAGGAAGTCTGCAATGTCTTTATTCACTCAGCCTCTGGCTGCTTTTCTTGTGTCTGTGATCTTTTCGTATCTCTGGAGCAAAGTTTGTGCTATTCGGTTGTGTTGCAAAATGTAGTCTTAGGGTGTAATAAATATGCCAAAGCAAAGTATGGTAATAACTGTTACAAAGTCAGAGGAAATTATAGCTTTCAAGTACTTATCATATTCTCTGTCAGTTGCTGGTCCCTCACAACTTGAAGGGTTCCTAAGCAGTAGTCTAAAATCACATGAGAGGACCCTACACCTTTATGGCTGCTAGATCTGTTCCTTGATGTTAATAATAGCTGGTATTTTTATAGTGCTTTAAGGTTTGCAAAGCACTTTACATAGATCATCTCATTTGATCTGTTGTTATCACCAGAGGAAACACCGTCTTACCGTTAATTGGATTCTAAAGCCCTTAAAGAAAGAGTCCAAATTTATTTTTTGTTAAAGAATCTAGTGCAAGAAACATTTGCCATTTTATATGCAAGACACTGTTGGATGATATAAAGACAAAAACATAGAGCAGTCTCTGTCCTCCAGGAGTTTATTAGGGGTTACCATATTTCACAAGTAAGTAAATGCTACATGACTTGAGGGTGGAGATTAGGGAAGGACTCTTGTAGGGGTGGCATTGAAGGAAGCTAAAGATTCCAAGAGGCAGCAGTGAAGCCAGAGTTCCTTCCAAGATTGGGGGAAAGGTATAGCCAGTGTAAAGGGTCAGTGATGGAATGATCAGCTCAAAGAATGACAGAGTCATCCTGTTAGACTGAATGAAGGAGAGTATGAAATCAGTCTGGGGCCAGAGTGGGAATAACCATCAAATTCCCAGACCCCCAAGTCCACTGTTTCCAGTTTTGGTGTGAGATCAGAAAATCATTTAGGTGAGTTTACTTCCTTTTGTCCTGCCTCTTGTCCTAGGTGCTCACTGTAGCAGGTAGCGCCTTCTGGCTTTGCTGGTGGTGCTTTTACCCAGAGGTATTGATTACTATACTTGGGGACTTGAAATTATTGCCAGTGATAAAATATTAGGTATATTAGCACCTCTTCTATCCGTGTCGTCTTCCATTCTCCACCATCTCTCACCCTAAATATCCAGTCAGTTGCCACATCTGTTCCATTCTGCCTTCCCAGCATCTCTTGCCTCCTGCACCTTCTGAGCTCACACAGTTCCCACTTTAGCTCAGGTCCTCATCACCTTTCACCTAGACTCTTGCCGTACTCTATGGATAGGCCTCCCCAATCCCGTCCTTCATCCACAAGGCTGCCTCAGTGATTTTCCGAAAGTACAGGTCTAACCATGTCATTCCATTGTCTCTGGTGCCAAATAGCTCTTGTTGGCATTGAAAGCCCTTCACAACCTCACCCTTACCTCCCTTTCCAGTTTTTTCTACATTCTTGCCCCTCTGGTACCTGATGGTTTGGCCAGACCTTTCTTCACACACAGTGTTCGTGTCCTCTCTGTGCCTTTGCACTGGCAGTTCCTCATGCCTGGAATTCCTTCCTTCCTTATTAGAATCCCTGACTTCTTTCAAGGCTCAGCTCAAGCACTGCGTTATGCATGAAGTCTTCACTGATCCCCACAGCTGCTAGTATCTTCCCCCCAAAATTACTTCGTATCCACTTTGCATATGCCTACATATGCATCAAGCCTGGCATATAGTAAGTGCCATATACATGGTAGCCATTATTATTGTCAGTGCTAGCTAGAATTTAAACTCCTTGAGGGCAAGGACTATCTGACTTTTGTCTTTGACTCCACAGTGCCTAGAACTTCAAAGATCCTTAATAAATGTTTATTGGTTGGTTAATTCCCTACACAGGGGCATTGCCCATTCTTGCCTACTAGCCACTTTTTTGGGGGGCACATTTCCTTTCCTCCCCATTGTGAACCCTCTATCTGAAGATGTGTATACCTCCCTTCAAGGCATGTATGGGTTCTCCTTTTTGGAACCCACCTATCTGCAACTTCAGTGCTTAGCACAGTTTTGGTCATACAGTAAGTGCTTAATAAATGATTTTAAAAAGTTACCTAAGAAAGGTAGTATAATAGGAGGATCATTTAGCTTCAGTCTTTCTTGGAGAAATAGACTGACCTACATCCTGTTTTTTAAATGGCAATTCTGTAACAGTACTTTTTGATGAATGAGTTGTTTCTATCGTTTTTATTTGTTCTGTGGAAGTCTGATGGGAGTTTTATTCAAACCACTAAATTAAGACATCCTCATGCTAGTGACTCATTATTAAGAAGAACTTAGATGACTATCTTCTTAGAGATAAAAAAAAATAAGTAAAAATGTAACTTCAGTACTGAAACTTTCAGATACACTGACATAAGCATGTAAAACATTGTTCAAGATTATATTTTAACTGCCAGACAGGTGGTTAAGTGCTTGTCAGTCTGGTCAACTGGATTGAGTTTTGAACTTGAATCAAGAAATTCAGATTTTGTTTCTGACACTTAACTGTGTGAACATGGAGAAGTCCCTCAATCCCTGTGTTCCTGACAAGCTTTACGTTTTGTATGGGTTGTGATGCACACAGATTTTTGAGAAGTCTGCAGGTTCACTGCTGGGTGCCATGAGGCAGCTGACAGAAAGGCGTGGTCTCTGCCTTTGGATGCTTTTTGGATAGATACGTATCAGCAGAGAAGAGGATTCGTAGTAGCTAATAACTGACATTTAGGATTTGCCAAATGTTTTGCATGCTTTAATTATACCAGCAGCAGGTGATTAGGGCTATTTAGTGTGGCCGTAAACTCTGAGTGTTTTGAGGGTTGATGGAAGGATTTGAAAAGTTTTGATTTTACAGATGGGTGAACTGAGGCACAGAAGAGGAAAGCAACTTGCTGAAGGAAGCAGCTGGTGGCTTAGCAGTACCCAGAATGCACATTTTCCCTACTCCCAGCCCCGGGCCCTTCCGACTCTGCCACCTTCTTCACAAACTTGATTGGGCCTCGAAAATTTTTCTGTGGTCTTTGCTCTCAATCTCCTAGAGCAACCCCATGAAGTAAAAGGGGAAGAGAACTGTCAGCAGTCACAGAACTTGGTACAGCTGGGATAAGAAGAAAAGATTCTCATGAAGGATGTAGGTCTTTAACTGAACCTGTAAGAATGGATTGTTTTTATATGCAAAAGAGAGTTTAATTCCAGGCACAGGAAAAAGGTAAAGCCCAATGAGGGGGGTGGCTTTCCACTAGGTTTGTGTCACCCAGGAGGCACTTGATGTTTGCTGAAGTAGAAAAAGCAGCATATAAGTACGTAAGAAAAGGTTCTATTTTGTGAAAATGTCAATATAAAACATCAGCACAGATGACAGTGTGACATCAGTAGAGAATCAGCTTAGTATGATGGAAAAAAACCTGACTCTAGTGTCTGAGGAGCTTCACAACTTCTTGCTTATGGGAATGGGCAAGCAGCAGCCCCATTTGAGACCTCAGTTTCCACATCTGCAAAATGAGAAAGGGATTGAATTAGATGATCTCTAAATCCCATGATCTGTTTCTCAGGATTAACAATAACTATAGAAAAAAGCAAGGGGCAGCTAGGTGGCATGGTGGATGGACATTGGCCTTGGAGTCAGGAGGATCCGAGTTCAAATTCAGCCGCAGACAACTTGACACTTACTAGCTTTGTGACCCTCGGCAAGTCACTTAACCCCTGATTGTCTCACCAAAAAAAAAAAATAATATTTACCCTAGGGTTGAACTTTTCTCTTGTATATCTTTAATAGTTAATATACTTTATATCAATTAAATTCCCACTTTGAGCCAGATATTATGCTAGACACTGGGGATAAAAAGACAAATGAAGCAATCTCTGTTCTCAAGGAGCTTACATTCTATCAAGGGAGACAACAGGACATATATAATACAGAAAAAAGTACGAGGAAAAATATCAGTGAGAAGATCCAGAAGGGCTTTATGTAGAAGATGATGCTTGAGATGTGTCTTGCTGAAACAGATTTTATGAGATGTAGGAGACAAGGGAGTGTATTTCAGGAATGGACACAGGAGAGGGGACTGTGTCAGGACTGAAAGAAAAAGCCAGTTTAGTTGGGTTATAGAATATGGGAAGGGGAATATAGAATATATAACAAGACTGTAAAGGTAAGTTGAGGCTAGTTTGTGAAGGGTAGAGGCCTTTAAAAGCCAGAAAAGCTTATATTTTACCCTAGAGGCAGTAGGTAGCCACTGGTGTTTATTGAGTGGGGGAGTAACAAGGTCATATCCGTGCTTAAGGAAAATCAGGTTGGCTGTTATGTGAAAGGTAGATTGGAGTGGGGAGAAACTTGAGGAGAGAGACTGATTAGGGGCCTGTTAACACAGTCTAGTCCAGAGGTGATAAGGGCCTCCAAAAGAGTGGTGGCTTTGTGAGTAGAGAGAAGGGGTTTGGATTCAAGAGATGTGAAAGTAGAAGGGATGAGATTAGTTGGTTGGTTGACTGTGGCATGAAGGAGAATGAGGCATACAGGAAGACACCAAAATGATGAGGTTGGGAGACTGGAAGAAACAGTGTGTGAAAAGACTGAAATAATTGGAATTTGTCCTTGGAATTTTAAGAGGGAATACTAGTATAGTGTGAGATAGTCTCTTCTTTCAATTTCTGTTTGGCCCAAAGTGGGAAACAGATTGGAGTATTCCATTCTTTCCAGTTGGGGAACCTAAGTGTTGCTGATGTAAATCATTTGATTCCGTATATAAAACCATTCAAAAAAAATTTTAAGAGGCGTATTTAGACATGAAAGGAACAAGTTCAATATCAAATGATTCTCCTAAGTCTGCAAGCAGATAAAAAGTAGCCAGTATGGACGTGACTAATGCTTTCCAAGTCAGCATGAGTCCTCTGCCTGTGCCCTGGGGAGGTAACAGGCTGCCTCAAGTTGCCTCAGATTTCCTTTTGCCGTTAGGTAGACTGAGCTGGATAAAATGCAGAGCATTCACTAATGCCAAGTATGACAGTCGTAAATTTGTGAGAAGAAATTCATGCTGGTTGGTGAGATTGCCAGCTTGTCTGTCTTCTCAGAAGGGGAGCAAGGAGAGTGTAGGGAATTCAAGAGCTCTTCACTGCCTGGGGCTCTAGGGGCTTCTGAACTGTATTGGGGGAAATTGAGAGGCGGGGGGCTCATTTTGACCATTGAAAGTTTGGATTCTGTTATTATTGGAGAAGGGCCTTTTTGTGTCATTACATAAAACATTAAATTCGAACTTGGATTGACCTTTACCACTGTCTTGGCTGCTACTTCAGGAATATCTAACAGACCGCTTACTTATACAGATACAGTATGACTGGCATTTTGTAAACAAAAAGTGGAGAAAAACTGGTGCAGCCAAATTGTGAGTGCTGTTACCTTTTTAATATTGCCACCCTTGAGATAATTAAATTGAATTAAAAACCAAGGTTTTGTATTTTGGGAGGCTGGATTTCTCACCTTTGGTATCCTGTGAGTAAATAAGCCCAGATGTTACTTACACTTTGTTGGAAGTACTTCTGGTATAAAAGTTATTGTAGTTCTTGTGACTGAAAGTGTTTGTTTGACAAGTTAACAAAACCCTTCAGAGCTAGAAAGAAAGTAATTGGGTTAAGAACTGGGTTAGAAGTGACTTATAAGTAAAAAACATTTTTTAAAAAATTATATAGTTCACCTTAGGGCTTGATATAAGAGTAATGCCCTGTCTTTTTTTAAAAGTAGATGTGTTATAAAATACTGTCATTGATATAAAAGAGATTCAAAGATTAATTCTAAAAATTCCCCTCTAAAATCTCCAGAGAGAAGTCCTATATATTTTTGGTCCGCGTAATAAAGTTTAGTCACGTCATATTGTGAAGTAGAATTTTCTTCCTTGCTAAAGGAGAAAACCACCCTCTTCTCACTGAAAGGGCATGTCTATTAGTTTTAGTAAGTTTCACTTGCAACAAAATATCTAGACAATGAATTTTTTAAATTGCATTTAAAACTCAGTTGAACTTTTCTAATCTGAGTTGCTCCTATCATGATTCATAAGAATATATTCACTAAACTTGATTTCACTTAGAAATACATAGTAGATCGATTAGTTGACACAGTATTTTGTAAAAAGCATGTGCTTTCAAAAATGTTAATGGATGATAATGTTTACTAGGGTCTGACTGCTTAAACTGTCTTTTCCTTAGGAGGTGTTTGTTCTACTGTCCAAGAAGCTTCGCAGATTTCAGTTTTGTCCATTCTTTGGTTGCAGTAACAGGTTCAGTGGAGTAATTGTGTTCATTAAAAAATAATATTTTTAAAATGGCTGCAAAAAAAGCATTAGTCATCCTGGCTAAAGGAGCAGAGGAGATGGAAACCGTTATCCCTGTTGATCTGATGAGGAGGGCTGGAGTAAGTATGCAGACCATTTCTGTCCATTTATTTGTGGATTTCTTTTATGTCTTTTGACCAAAATAAGATTCCAAACTTGATGGAATTTTAAATAAAATTTAAATCTCCACAGCTAATGTAAGGCTTATTTATTATTCTGCATTTGGTGTACTTGCTGGGGCTGGGGAACAGGACGTTAGGTGGACTTCCTCTGTGAAGGAGATCGTGGAGGTTTGCCCAGATGAGAATGCATGGCTAGGTTTCTCTCTGTACCGCCGGAGGGAGTGCTGCCCCCATTGATGAGGACACAGAGTAATCAGAGGATGTAGTGATCAAAGTGTAAGGCAGTATAGTGAAATAAAACATTCACTACAACTTTTGGCAACATATTTAAACATAGTAAAAGAAGTGGATCTCTTAAAATATCCTTTGCAACTCTGAGAAAATTGTATCAGAGGCCATTGAGTCCAGCGCAAGTTTCCATGACCAAGAATCCCATCTACAACATCCCTGACGAGAGGTTCTCCTGGGAGAGGGACCCTGCTATCTCTGCTAACAGCCAGTCCCACTTTTAGTCTTGTCAGGAAGTTATCTTAGGCAAGACTAAATTGTCCTTTTCTAAAACTTCCATTAATTTCTTGTTCTGTACTCTAAAGTCAAGCAGAAGTCTACTCCTTCCTTCAAATGATATTTCGGATACTTGAAGACAGTTATCATTCCATATTCCTCTTCATCTTGAGGCTAAACCTCCCCCATTCCTTCACCTGAACCTCATATGGCACAGTCTCTAGTCCTTCACTGCCCTGTTTATCCTTCCTCTTTCTAAAATGTGACGGCCACAACTGAAAACAGTGTTATAGAGGTGGCCTGAATAGGGCAGAGTAGAACCAGGTCAGTCACCTCCCTCATTCTGGACGTGAGCCTTTCTTACCGTAGTTTAAGATCTTTGCTTTTTAGGCTGCCACATCACATTCTCGATTCATAATGAATTTGTTGTCCAGCACACTGTCGATTTTCTTAACTAGGTATGGGAATTGTTTTTGTTTTTCAGATGAAAGTCATTGTGGCAGGTCTTTCTGGAAAGGATCCGGTACAGTGTAGTAGAGATGTACTCATTTGCCCTGATGCCAGTCTAGAGGATGCGAAAAAAGAGGTTTGTCCTTTTTCATCAGATACAGTCCTTCAGACATCTTTCATTATGTTCATTCTGTAGTAGTTGATTAGAGAAATTCAGTCATGGCTTGTTCTTTGTTCAGAGGAAGTTTTCTATTACGTTATAAAACATTATCAGGTGTTATCTTGTTTATTACCATGTGTAATTGCACAAAGCTTGCTCATTTTTGTGTTTTCTCTATCTGTACAACAACATAACCTTGTTATCTTGCCTGCTGTTCTGCTCCTTTCTTATTTGCTACCAAAACAGAACAGGGGCCAGAGTGACAAGGATTAGCACTTGATCTCCTAAACCTTTGCTTTTGTCATAATCCTGTATTCCCTTTTCAGAGAAGCAGAAATAGTCACATGTTTACTTTAGGTGGAACATCTGATAAGCCTCTGATTGGAGGAGAATTAAATTGATTGACATAAATTCATCCTCACTATCATTTTCTTTAATTTGATGTGAGAATTTAAATGAGAAAAGTTTCCAGATTTTTCATATTGACCTGGCTAGTGATGTCATCATCAAAATGAATTTGCAGAAACTCGTCATCTGGAAGTTTGGCCAGGGAGATTGCTTTTTTTGGCAGCAGCAACTGATAAAGGAAATCTAAGGGGGATTAGCATGCACACAGGAAATTTTGGGTGCCTTAAATTTGGGGCTGGGACTCTAGTTGAGAATATTTAGTCAATTTTTAAAATGTTGAGAGAGAAAATCAATCTTTTTTAAAAACATATTAATGATAGGGAATGTAGGGAATTTGTATACTAATAATCAAATATGAAGCTTGTTGATGATTTTAAAAATGAAATGCTTAAAGTGAGAAGGAAAAGTCGGTTGTGATTTCTGTTTCTCAGGGTTTTTTTCTGCTGTACTTTGGACAATTTAGGACATTTGACTCATGTTTTTGTACCCAGTGCTACTGGGACAAAGAAAAAGAATTATATCTTTCTGATATTGTTTTTCTTTGTTAGATTTTTTTTTAAAATACAGAAAAATAAGGGTCATGAAAATAATGTTGGTTGCATCTCAATACATTATATCACAGTATTTGCCGTATACTCAGGACTTTGCTAAAAGTGCTATTAGGCCAAATTTCTAACTTTGTAGTTTTAGCAAATTGCTAAGTGGAATATAGTGGAGAGAGTACTAGACTTGGAGTTAGGAAACCCTGAGTTTAAATCCTGCTTCTTACACTTTGTAGCTGTATAATGCTGAGCAAGTCCCTTTACTTTTGTCTGCCTCAGTTTCCTCATAGGTAAAATGGAGTTAATAATAGCACTTAACTTCATAAGGTGGTTGTGAGGAGCAAAGGAGATAATGTGTGTAAGACACTTAGTGAACCTTAAAGCGCTTCATAAATGTTAGCTAACATTATTTTTTGAAAACTGCAGCTTTTGAAGGCATTGAGGACATTAATACTTTTCTCTAAATTCTTTTAGTACATTAGTCACTTTTATCTCAAATTCTATTTTTTTCTGAATGTCCTGTTCGTTTTAGCTCTCACTTTTAGAATATGAAAATATCATTAGACTGTTTCTCTTTAATGCACTTTCTTGTTTTTGAATGTTTTAGGGACCATATGATGTGATTGTCCTACCAGGAGGTAATCTGGGTGCGCAAAACTTGAGTGAGGTAAAGTCTAATGAAAGTGTTCAAGAATATTTACATTTCATATTTTTGGTGTCATTAAAGTCTTGGAGGGAAAGTGATATGTAAAGTGAGACACTCCATAATAATGTGGAGTTCTAAGTTTGCGCATGTCTTAAAAGTAAAAGAACATTTAAAAATGATCAGTTTCTGATTTTTGTACAATATTTCTAAATCCTAGTTGTTTTAGGTTCTCCTTGCATTCTTTATAGAGAGGATTGATTTATGAATTAATGGCTACTTTATGTTACTTTTCTTTTCGTAGAGTGCCGATGTGAAAACACTGCTGAAAGAGCAAGAGAAAAGAAAAGGCCTCATAGCTGCCATTTGTGCAGGTCTGGCATTTTTATCATGCTTTTAAAATGTTAGTTTTCCAAAAGCTCTATGAATAGTCTTTCAGTTTTACAGATTTGTTCTTAAAGGTCCCCTTACCTTTTACAAGTCATAAAATAACTTATTAGGGACAGCTAGGTGGTGCAGTAGATAGAGCACTAGCCCTGGAGTCAGGAGGACCTGAGTTCAAATCTGGCCTCAGACACTGGATACTTCCTGTCTGTGTGACCCTGGACAAGCCACTTAACTCTGATTGCCTAGCCAACAAATAAATAAATGAGTGAGTGAATGAATGAATGAATGAATGAATAAGTAAAATAACTTATTAGGTAAAATACCTTGTACATTCATTTTGGATACATTATGTATGTAAATGTTCTCTCTGTTAGATGTAAACTCATTGAAGGTAGGGACTGTTTTACTTTTGTATGCCCAGTACTTAGCATAGAGCATTCCACTTAATAGTAATGTGTCGGTTGATTGATTTTGATTTCAAGAATAAATAGAGTTGGAGTTTTCTGCTGTTTTATAAGTTAGCATAGTTGTTTTCTGATTCTAGAGAATTCTTCTCCCATTCCCTTTATCATCTTTATTTCCATGTCCTTGGCAGAGGTTCTTTGAAATTGAATAATTCTTGTATTTGGTCAAGCACAGGAAGAAGTTGTGTCACTGTGGTATTAATTAAAGTACTCACCCCAGCAGATGATCTCTGTGCCAAAAAATTCAGCATGAATCTGCTGAAAGTAAATTCATTAGCTGCCGTATATGTGACCTTTAGTTTCATGAGTCTAAGTTGTAACCTTTCTAATTTTAGTGACTTCTCAATGGAATTTTTCTGATTGCTTGGAGCTGCTATTTTCTGATTACATGCAAATGAAAATGATATTGAAAACATTTCATGGTCATACAGTAAACCAGACTTTGAGAGTTGCTTTCTAATTCTGCCCTTGACATTTATGATCCTAGATAAGTGGCTTCACCTTTCCGAGCCTCGGTTTTCTCCTCTGTAACATGGGTATGATAACTGTAGTTCCAACTTCACAGAGTTGTGAAGAGTAAATGAAAGAAAGGATGCACAGACGCTTCGTGAAGTGTCCGATGAGGGTCAGCTGTCATTACCACCCACAATAATGGAGGCAGAAAAACTATGGCCTCTCGTCTGGTAGCATGCATTTCAGTGAGAAGAAGCTACAGATAGCCATGAGGTCTTTTAACTTTTTGATTTGGAAGAGATGCCTAACAATGTCTACAAAGCTGGATTCCAAAGAATAGCAGCTTCAACACAGGAAGAATAATAGTAATAGAGACACCCGGTAATTCACAGAAGACAAAATCCCAAGTCTTATTGATACCAAAGAAGCGTGTTAGGATTTTGTCCTTTGCAGTCAGTCCACCTCAGAAATCATCAAAAAGTAGATAACAGATACCTTGTATTTGTATATAAACTTCAGAGGTGGAATGACAGCAGAGGACAAAATAAATACAGCTAGTAGGCAGTTAAAACCTACAGTAAGCAAGGAGATTGGTGGTAAGGAACCCCTGGCCGCCTTTGATGAGTTCAGGTCAGCAGACCTTGGATTGCCCAAAGTGATAGCTGGTGTTTTTGTTAACTGTCAGTGATCTTTGCAAGATTATGGAGAATAGGAGAGAGGCCATGGGGCTGGAGAGGGGCTGATGACCCCATTTTCAAGGAAAAAAAAAAGACTAGAAGTAGAACACTTTCGTCTAGAATGTATGCAGATTAGAGTGAGCAGAATTGTAGAACCCCCAATCAAAAGGCTGGGTAGTGAGTATCTTAGCAAAGAAGTGGTTCTCACTTGACGGTCTAGACGGAAGCCCTTCATCATCCTGCTTGCCCTTCCTTTGACATCTTCCTACACATTATGAATTGTCCTTCCTAAAATGTAGGCCCAGAAAGGAGCTGGATGCTCCAGATGTGGGGTGAGCGGAGCAGAGGGCGGCGGAAGGGTTATTTCCTTCCCTCTGGAAACTCCATCTCCTTTGAGGCAGCCATGGTTGTTTTAGCTTTCCAGCTGCTTGGTTGTACCGTTGGTCAGTGTTAAGCTTGTGTTAACCTAAAACTCCCTGGCCTTTTGGATGAACTTCTGTCTAGACATGTTTTGGTTTTTTTACTCTCACATGTGTGAAGCTGAGTATTTGACCCTAAGTTTAAGATTTTAATCTCTTTTTAAATTTCATCTTACTAGGTTTGGCCCAACATTCTAACCTATTGGGGTCTCTTTTGATCTCAAAACTGTCAACCAACAGCTTTGTATAATTTGTCAAAGCATGCCTGTCTGCTTTTATTCTAGTCCCTGATTAAAATGTTAACACAAGAATAAGGGCAGATTTTGATCCCTGGGGCCACTACATTAATGACTGTTTTTTGGGCACAGCCATTTAACCAGTTCTGAAAAACAAGCTGTTAAAACAAAAAAATAGTACCTCTGCATAAAGACATTAACAGGTCAGACGGTGCAGTGGCCTTTTACCCTCCGAGAATCAGGAAACATTCAGAGAGATGGTTAGTGTAGAGAAGAGTTGTAGAATACACACCCTGTGCTCCTAATCTGGCATCCTTAGACTTCTATTTGTAAGGCACTCAGCAATGTCTTTGCATCTCAGTAATACTTTTTTTTTTCCAGGCAGTTGGGGCTAAGTGACTTGCCCAGGGTCACACAGCTAGTGTCAAGTGTTTGGTCTGCGGTCACATTTGAACTCAGGTCCTCCTGACTTCAGGGCCGGTGCTGTATCCACCGAGCCACCTAGGTGCCCCCTCAGTAGTACTTTCCATTGTGCAGTATCACTTAAAAATCCACTTAGGTTGCCTGAGTATCAGCTGTGATTTCTACTTTTTCATCCATGTGGTACTGGGTCCAGTCATGTGATATTATTAATACTGACTAGTGATTGTAATATCACACAAAAGTATCATTTCAACTTCAACATTCAAACATTTTATCAAATGCTTTGTATTGAGAAGCTGTCTAATGTGCATGAGTACTGTCAAGTTTGTTGAATTATTCAGTCTCCTTAAGGAGATTTTCATTTAGATGCTAAGGCAAGCCATAGGTATGAAGGCTCAGTTGCCGTAGAAGTACTAAATAAAACAGGAATTGTTAAAAGACACCTGTGTGTAATGAGTCCAGTGAGCGTTTGTGAGGGGAAGCGAGCAGTAGAGATTGGAGAGGGCAGCCTCAGCCTTGCTTCATGCCCTCCCATTGGGAGAAGGAAGCAGATGCTGAGGGAAGAGTAGCAGGAGGCAAGCTGATGAGTGTTTGAGGAAAAGGAGTGCAGTCAGGAATGAGAACTAAAGCCAAGGGGTCCAGAGAAAGAGACAGCTCAGACTGCGGGCTGTGTCAGAAGGATGCTTGGGTTTTCTAATGGCTTTATGAGAATCGCCACAAGGTGGCGCTATGAAACTTCAGGTAATGGTCCCTTTTGTTCAGCTCTGCTTTTCGTTCAGTACCACTGGTGTGCTGGGGCTCCACTTATGTTTGCAGAAAGCACATGTTTAAAGATAACATTGATCTCTTTTCTTTCATTTTTATTCATTCAATTCAGCAAGCGTTTACTAAGTGCCTGCCGTGTGCAGGACACTGCTAGATGTTGGCTGGATAAGATGCAAAGTTAAGGTAAAAAATGTTTTCAGGCATGTTGGACTTAAGTTACAAATTTGCATATTTCAGAACACTGATTTCTTTTTGAGATATTTGCATTTTATGGCTAAATGGAACCAAAAAAATGTTTTAGTATTCCAGTGAATTTAGTAGGAAGAACTTGGAATAAATTTACTCCCAATCCAAAAAATCAAACATTTTTCCTGTCCTAGTCATAGGTTCATAGCTGATTAGAATAAGAAGGAACCTTAGAAATTATCTAGTCCAACACCCTTATTTTTTTTTAAATGAGAGGCAGTTGACAGATGAATAGATTTCATCTTTAAAGAGCTTCGTATGTGTAATAATTGTAAATCAGGGCCTATTCTTGCAGAGAATGTAGCTACTTGGGCATTTGTATGATCTTCTAAATCTGAGAATCAGCTGGTTTTCAAGTAACTTGTAAGGATATTATGTAACTACTCATTTTCCTGGGAATTAGATTGAGATATGAAATATTAATTCACCACAGTAATTCACATTTCTAGCATTTTAGTATTTGGAAAGGACTTTCCTTGCCACAACCTTTTCCTCATTTTAAAGATGAGAATCCGGAAGCTCTGAGACATTGGGTAACTGGCCCATAAAATCACAGAGATTAATGATGGTTTAAGTTGGGATTTTGAACCCAGGTCCAAGGCCAGTGCTCTCTTTGCTACAGTACCTCCTCCTTATGGATAGCTCTTCTAACTTACACTGAATATGAGTGGTATGAGAGTGAGAATGTATCTTAGGAACTTAGAACCATTGCTTGAGAAGGAAAAATACCACGTCATTGTATTTATTTGGGATCCCAGGCCTTAGATGGACACGAGAAAATGTCAAAGAGGATATTTGTAAGTAGCTAGAGAAAAAAAATAATTATACCATTCTGCCCTTCTATAAAGTGCCTTAAATAGAAAATACCAAAACCCATTCTTTGTGATTCCATGAATGACAAAAATATCGAGCTCTAAATGTCCTTTCTAAGAGATGCTTGTTGAATCCCAGGATTGGGAAGCACCTTAGAGGCCCAAAAGGGCAGTCCATAATTGAAACATGAAACACTCAAATAGTATCTCTGACACAAGTATTTATCCAACCTTTGTTTGAACTCCCCAGTGATAGGGGACTCACTATCTTCCAAGTTATTCTATTACATTTTTGGACAGTTATATCAAGGAAGTTTTCCTTATTTTGGCTTGAAATCAGCCTCCGTAACTTATATCTGTTAGTTCTAGCTCTGTTTTCTGGGGCCATGGAAAACAAGTATTAGCCTTTCATATAACATCTCTTAAAGTGGTCTGTGACAGCTGTTGTGTCTTCTACCCCCAAAGTCTTCTCTTTTCTGGGTTAAATGTCCC